TATTTGCCATGGGGTGAAAAAAGGCTGAGCGCCAAAGAGTTGAGGCCTTTGAACTCTGGTGCTGGAGAAGACTCCTGCGAGTCCCTTGGACCGCAAGGCTATCCGACTGGTCAGTCCTGGAGGAGATCAACCCTGTCTGCTCTATAGAAGGCCAGATTCTGAAGGTGAAACTCAAAGACTTTGGCCACCTAATGAGAAGGAAGGACTCCCTGGAGAAGAGCCTCATGCTGGGAACGATGGAGGGCAAAAGAAAAAGAAGGGGACGATGAAGAAGGAGGTGGCTGGATGGAGTCACCAAAGCAGTCTGCCTGAACTTAAAAGGACACTGCGGGATGGTAGAGGACAGGAAGGCCTGGAGGAACGTTGTCCATGGGGTCGCAATGGGCCAGAGGTAAATGCTCAGCCCCTTCAGTCTGCTGCGTTTTTTTTAGAAAGTCGGTTGGTCTAGTTACAACCGCTTCAGCTGAACCCTAAATGGAAAGACGCAACAGAACGGGCCGAAGTGGGGGTGGGCTGTTGTGCGGCCCAGGGTGTGGTGCAGACGCAGAACCTGGGGTGATGATGATGATGATGATGATGATGCCATAAACTAGGGTTAGGAATCCGGGCGGTGCGCAAAGCCAATTTACAGAATCTTGGGGTTGAGGGTGCCAAGGGCTTGCCTCGCGCGCGCTCTGCCCCCTAGCGGCTCACGTGCAGAAACGCATCCTGCCTTCTCTCGGCTCAGAGATTCTTCTCCCCCCCCCACCCCCTTCCGCGGATGGGTCGATCTCTTTTATAGGCAAACTGGAAGCCTTGTCGTTGGGGGCTTTGAAGGGAGAGACCCTTCAGAGTTCTCCCTCTTTTGGAAGGAAGATAGAGGTAAGGAGAGGAAGATGGGAGAGAGAGAGAAGAGAAGAGAGAGGAAGAGGAAGCGAGGAGTAGGCGAGAGGTAAGGGAAGAAGGAAGGGAAAGGAGAGAGGAAGAAAGAAAGTAGAGAAGGGAGGGAGAAAAGAAAGGGAAAAGAAGCTGGTGTCAAAACAAGCGAGGGATGGTAAACAAAGCAACTCAAACGGTGTGTTATAACCTTGTAAATGGAACGACAAATGCATAAGCACGACGAATGTAAAAAAGAATAACAACTATGTGAATGTATACCTATAATTGTGTGTAAGAGAACAAAAAAAACTTTTCCTGGAAAAAAAAAGTCTTCCCCCTTTTGAATCAACTCTTTTAAGGATGATCCGTTGTGGGGGAGGAAGACACGCGAATACAAGAAGCGCGGCTCAGAAAACCTTCAGGTGAAACTCCGAATCATCCAAAACCGACCTCACATTCCTCGGCTGATTTCCAAGGTGTGTTTTTTTTTTTTAAAGAAAAACAAGCCAGCGTTTGTTTCCGGCCGGTGAAACGGCAGAAAACAGGAATGCCGGGCGAACCGAAGGCACCTGGGGCGCTTGTGCCTGACTCAGCCTAAGCCGACATAGAAATAAAATCCGTGGCTTTTTTTTTTGTTTGCAACGCGTGCTTAATCCGGTCGACGCCGAGCCATTACGGGATAGAAGCGGGGGAAATCGACAAAAGGGCCCAGCTGCAAAACTTGGATCTTTCCATCGGTCGGCCTGCGAGGATCCGATACGTGGAAGCAGAAGAGAATTGGGATTGACTACACCCGGTTTCGACCCCAGACGGATCCACTCCGAGTGTTTTAGGGTTTACGGACACCCGGGAAGAAAACCTCGGGGTCGCAAAGAGCTGAGCGGTTCCCAAATTGTTCGCCCCCTTTTTTAATCCCACAAGTGGCGGTTGGCACCGTTCAGACGATACGTTGAAACGAAAGCATCACATCAGCGCCGCCCGAAGCGTCGAGACCCCAGTTCGAGGCAGGCTGGTCATGGGAACGCGAGCAGACCAACTTTTGCAAACAAACCAGGGTTAAACCAGGCCTGGCCCGTGAAGGCGGAAACGAAAGCGGCTGCCCGCGGCTTTAATGGACGGTTTAAACCGACAGGGCGACTTTGCCATGTGCTGGGAGAAATTTATTTTCCTTCGTTAAATACATTTGCAATCAGTTTTCGTTTTCCGAACTGGCACCTTGGCACCTGGGGGGAAGAGGGGGGCATCAGCCATTAAAAAAACGTATTGGCAACCGTATTTGTGTTATTCTAAAATAAGGTAATAGGGAAGATATATTTCTAGAGAGACGCGCTTGGCCGTTTTTTCTAGTTTTTGTGTGTGTGAGAGAGAGAGAGAGGGAGGGAGAGAGATGGATAGATAACATAAGATATGTTATGTATCTATATTTATCTCTATTTCTATATCTTACGTATCTATGCATAAAGTTAGAGATAAAGGTAAATATATATGGATAGATACGTAAGATATAGAAAAACAGATAGAGAGAGAGAGAGAGAGAGAGAGAGACTATGAGAGAGAGGGGGGAGGGAGGGAGAGATATTAATTCACAAGGTGCATTCAATAAACTAGATCCAAAGTCAATAAAATGACTTAATTGCACCAGCTACTTATTTAATATTCATTTCTCAAAGGACACCAACAATAAATAGTTGTAAAAAAAATTCCCATATGACTTTTTTTTAAAAAAAGACCAACTTTTTTAAATATCAAAAGGTAGAGAGGCAAGTTTAAGATGATGCCTGGCATTAAATCCTAAGCTCTTCCGTTGGTCTCCTTCCCTAGCAAACGTGAAGGGATCATTTTGGGTCTAAGTGGGAGAGTCTCTTGTCTTGGCAATAAGGGTTTCAGGCACGGAAGGACGACGCATATGGACTGCCAGGAGCGCAATTCTCATCCTTCTCTGCTTTGTTTCCTTCCTTAAACCTTCAGACAATTGGGCTGAAGAAACCCTGGGGATTCTTCTTCTAGGAGCTATTTTCTTTTTCTTTTTCTAAAGAAAAATGAACATGTTTGGAACCGTGGGACTTTGGGAGCCCAACATAGGGCGGTTGCGGGGAGGTTGGGGTAAAAAGTTGGTGAGCAGCTGGAGAAGCTGTTCTCTCTTCAGGAAAGGAAGGGAGAAATTCTGGGTGGAATCTTTTCCGTGTCAATTGGGAAAATCTGAGCAATTCTGTTTCCCTGGGAGGGAAGGAGGGAAGGAAGGAAGGAAGGAAGGAAGGAAGGAAGGAGAATTCTATAATTGTGAGGTGTGCTTGAACAGGAAGGAAGGATGGAAGGAAGGAAGGAAGGAAGGAAGGATCACTGATGATGTTACCTAGTTGGGTAATGAAGCGCCTGCAAGAAAACCACCAACCTCAGAGAGCTCAAAAGCACCCCACAATTGAAAAGCCCCCCTCTTTTTTCTCACTTTCTGTTTCTCACGGTAAACCCACCAAGCCCTTCCTTTGGAGCCCTTCCTTCTCCTCCTTTCTATCAACTTGTTCTCTACTTCCCCTTTTTTAAACTCACAAAAAGCTCCCTTCCACACCAATTCTTTGCAAAATGGTTGCTTTAAACAAAAATGGAAAATTATTTCCTTTTCAGGGCTCCCTACTCTTTGCCTCTTTTTGAAATTTTTTAAAAAAGATTGTGGTAGGATAGAAATATGAAAAACAAACACATTAAAAAGCAAGGGAAGACAGGCCCAGCTGCAAAACTATGTGCCTCTAGCACCCATTTTATTATCCTCCAGAATATCTCTGGCCCATACCAACACCAAAGGTGTTCTTCAGAAGGAAGGAATGGCAGATTGCCAGACTCCATGGTTGGTTTGGGGTGGAGGCTCACCTGAAGAGGGGGGGGGAGGGAGAGAGAGAGACTGGAAGAGAGAGAGAGGGAGAGAGAGAAAGGGACTGGGGATAGAGAAAGTAAGTAAGTGAGAGTGGAAGAGAGAGACTGAGAAAAGAAAGAGAAAAAGAAAGAGAGAAAGAGATAAAGGAGAGGGAGAGAAAGAAAGAGGAAAGAGGAGAAAAAGAAAGAAAGAGAGAAAGAACAAGAGACTGGGA